AGCCAAGGCGTTAGGCGTAGGGGTGCAAATGGATCGGATCATGATCCAATCCGATCCAAGATCCGATCCTATTTGGTCAAATTTGGAACACCCTTGTTCGAATCTTCAGATCAGATCGGATTGGACAATAGGATCCGATCAAACATTGGATTGGATTCGGGTCACCCTTATTTGATCCGATATATGCTATATATTTATTTATATAAATATTTGTATAATACATATATGTATTATTTATTTATTTATAAATATATTATTTATATTGTATTTTTATAAATTTGTTATATTATTTATTTTTTATAAAAACATGTATATATATGCTGAAAATAATGAAAAAATACTTGTATTTTTTGTTTTTTCTTTATTTAAATTGGTATATTTAAATTTTTTTTAATAATTTATTAATTTTTAAAGAAAACAATTTGGACCGGATCAGATCCGAAGATCCGACTTACTTATAGGATTCAAATTCAGATCGAGGCCTATAAGATCGGATCCAATCTTCGGATTGGATCAGATCCCCCATGGACAATGGTAGGTCGGATTCAGATATACCTTGATTCGAATCCGATCCGATCCGTTTGCATCCCTAGTTAGGCGACTCCCACTCTACAAAACAGGGCATGCCAGATTGTGCTCCCAGCTCTAGCAATCCCTTCCATCTCAGCATAACTCAAGTATTTGTGTTCTTTCGGTTTGTGTTACTAATGACTGCTCTGTGTTTGTTGTGCCAGATATCGATCCCATTCTAGAGGATGCAACCCTCGTGGGAGAAGAGGGTCAGGAGCGGTGATTTAAAAGGTGCGCCTTAGGCGCGCCTAGGCGCATAGGCGAGGCGCATTTTAGGGTATGCGCCTCACCTAGGTCCTAGGCGCAGCCCTGTCAAAAGGCACACACCTGGTGCACCTGGTACGCCTTGCACCTCAGCCCAGGCATGCACCTTTTGAAAATTGGACGCTTTTTTGCTCTGAGAACCCCCTATTTGCTAATGTTCATTCATTCATCCTAATAAAATGTTTTCTTAAAAAGCAATTAAAATTATAAATTCATTATTAAAATTATAAATTCATTATTTTTTGTGTAAGAACTAAGAATTTGACACCTATCATGGACTTGTTTGGGCTTGCCTCAAGGGCCGTGGCACAAAGGCGACTCGTAGAATCAGGATATGCAATTGAGTGAAAAAAGAGATTAGAGGTTTTACATGCTTGAAAAATGTTTTATATGTTTGATTTTATTTTTAAATTCTCATTTGAATATGCTTTACATCTTATGTTTATGTATTTTAATTTTAGATAATAGGTTTTCTAAAACATTTATTTTAAAATTTAAGTTATATTTTTTATTAATGTTATGTTTAATATTTTTTATTTTTTGAATTTTTTGGCATTTTTTCGAAATTTCTGACATTTTTTGGATTATATATATATATTTATTTATTTTTGCGCCTTGCTTCAAAAAGGCGCACACCTCGCCTTATGCCTTGTGCCTCAGGCGCAAATTGACCTTTGCCTTTTTTGTGCCTTGCGCTTTTAAAACATTGGTCAAGAGAGAGATGAAGGAAGAAAAGAGGGGGTAAGGAGAAATAAAAGGATCCTGGAAATTCTAGAGAGGTTGGATGAAATTGAGGAGAGTAATTTTGAAGGAAGGGGAAAATGTGGTTAATATGGAAAAAACTGAAGGAGAAGGAGGAAGAGGTGGGGAAACAAGTTAGGAGGGAGGGAACATGGAACTTGACAAAAGAGAGCTGAATAGCGAGGATTCTATGGCAGCTTTTGTGGGGAAACTAGGGTGCAAATTGAAAGATCCAAATGATCTCAAAGTGTTCTTACAAAAAAAAAGAAGTTTAGATAAAAAAGAGGAAGTTGAGTGAGGCCGAATGACTGATAAGGATGTGGAAAGAGATAAAAAGTTTTTGTATTAAAGGGGAAAGGAGGAAATGGAATAAGTAAGGGCATTAAAAGTCGGGGGTGGAAAAATAGAGTTATCTTTTGGGAGGACCTCTGGTTGGGTGGGTCCCCCCTTTAAGGTGCAATACCTTCTTTTTACACTCTTCAGTTACAAATTTGAGCCTATTTCATCCTTTAGGACCTTTTCCTAGGTTGGTTTAAATTGGGATTTTGGGTTTAGAAGGGGCCTAAGAGACAATGAGTATAATTCCCTTGTTCAACTACTAGCCAAACTGGAGTCGGTCTTCTTAGTTCAAAATATGGAGGATACTGTGCTTCATCTTTAATCCTCTCTTACATTCCAATAATTTGGGTGAGAATTTTCTACTGAAATTTGTTGCACGTGACCAAACCAAACCAATGTTCAGTCAATACATCTATGATTAGTGCAAATAAATAAGTACCAAGTGCGAAGCCTTCTCTGTAAACTTTTGTATGAATGGTCTCATGAAAAGATGACTTCCATGGTCGTTCTCTTTGGCATCAACCTAAATTGATTTTCTGATATACTTATTTCATGTCATAATCTTTGCTTAATTATTCTTTACCAAAATTTCATTATGTGGCTTGTCACTTTAATCCCATGATAATTATTATACCTTTGTATATCATCTTTGTTTTTAAATATAGGCACTACAATGCTCATTCTTCATTCATCTAATGTTTTTGTTGCTTTTATTATCCCTACTACCATAAAAAAGTGGGAATAGCTCCCCAAGACTTTGGGACTTTTTTTTTGAATGAAATGTCCCTCTTTTTTAATTTGGTCTTTGTCTATATGAGGGTAGAAATTGTAATTTGAGTACTACTTTTCAGTTCATTCTGTCCCCTCTTATCCCATGTTGGAGTTATTAACCCCCATTCTCTCATTGAATCCTATATTTAAGTTACTTTTGTTTCTCATCATTAAGTTCTACTAATTAAATCCATGAACAATAATTTAGTAGTATAAAAACAAATATATTTTAACTCAATCTGGAAACAAAACTGTTTTTTTATTTCCAAGTGGCGAGCAAGTAGTTCAACCATTTGGGTTGAATAAATCAGCCATAATTAAATGCCAAAAAAATTAAAAATAGATAAAAATATAATAACAAAGACATTTTGTAGAAAACTTTGGATGCATCTCTAACATTATATATTTATCATATTAAATAAAAATAAATATGCTAAATAGGAAGTATTTGTATTAACAATGCAAATGGAATACAAAATGAAAATTGACCCAAAAGTTAAAACATTTTCTTGTTTGAGTGGTGGGTCAGTGGTTCAACTATTCATGCTAAATGGGTAACTCATGATGCCATACAACCATAGTTAAATAATAAAATTTGAAAAATTGAAAAAATACAAAGAATTGTAGAAAAATATGAAAATAAAAAAGTTTACATAGTCTAATATTAAATAATAATCATAATAAGAAGTAAGTGTGATAAACGAAGCAAAAATCAAAACTAATTTGAAAATGAAACTATTTTTCTGTCTTGGTGGTGGGTCAATGGTCCAACTTTCTAAATCAAATGGATCGACCCAAAAGCAAAATGGTTTTTCCATCTAGGTTGTAGGCTAGCAGTTCAACCGTCTAGGTGAAATAGGTTAACCCATGATGTATGATAATAAAATTTATTTTTATTAATGACGAAAATGGAATATAAGAAAATTAGGAAGAATAGAGAATTAATGTCTAACTCGTGACCAAAATAACCAGCCAAATGGTTCAATGGTTCAATTAGCTAGGTCACCATGTTGTTGACTAAGTCAATGGTTTTTACAAGAATGTAGTTTGGTGGTAAGTGGGCACAATATCTTGGTTGGGCGATGGTTAACTTGTCTAACCGGCTTATTTGACCACAAGCGGAAAACACTAATGAAAAACCAATGCTCAAAAAATTGATTGGAACCATATTCCCTCCCAGTTAAACAAGTCATCTTGTGATGTCATAAATTAAATAGAAAAATAAAATTTGATAATGTCTTTAATATTATATATTCATTGCATTAAACAAAATTATCTAAAGATGAATAATTGTTATTAATGTTGGAAATGACTAAATAGTAAATACAAAAAAAAGAATAATTGTTATCAATTAGATCAAAGATTCAACCAATAAGATTATCTGGTTATTGACCAAGTCAATGGTTCTTTGCAACAAAGTGGTTTGAGTTGAAACATACTCAAAAATTTGTTTCAGTAACACGCCTATCAATCTGACTGTCTAGTTCAACTGCACATTAAAACATTGACATAAGCTACAAACAAGTAGATTTGACGCTAGGTCTTTAGGTTGAAAGGCAATAAATCTACTAGTTCCCCATGCTTCAATTACTTATCTTTGTTACATGGGTCTTGATAGCAACACTAAAGTTATTATTATGATTTGAGATTGCCACATGCAGCGCACATGCACATTTACTAGTCTTGTTAAATGGTCTAGTTAGCCATAATAAGCCTACCTCTCCCATACTAACTTTTTTGGTATAATTTGTTAAAGCATACCACTTTTTTATATTTCTGAAGTGTTAATGCTATTTTGTATGTCTATTTGTATTGTGCCTCTAGTCCAAAAAGCATACCACTTTAGCCATAATAAGCCTACCTCTCCCATACTAATTCTTTTAGTATAATTTGTTAAACATACCACTTTTTTACATTTCTGAAGTGTTAATGCTATTTAGTAGTGCTATTTGTATGCCTATTTGAATAGTGCGTCGAGTCCAAAGAATTAGCATTTGTAGCATAATTAGATTAACAGATCAGAAGGATTTTCCCTGCTGGTTTTTAAGTACCATAATTAGAATAGATGATAAGTTCCCTATAAAATGAAAGCATTTGGCACATAATTTGCTCTTGTCACTTTACCTCGTGTGTCTGCAATCCCTTGGATTGACTTGGTTCTTATGAAATCAAATGTTATACAAGTATAAAACTAGATTGCTCATCGTTAAGATTACCACTGCTGCTCTTAGGAAAAGTCAAGTGATATGATCTGTAAAAGATAGATTTGGTCAATCACTCTAGTTTTGTGACTGATGAAAATTTTGAATGTTTAGGCAGATGAAGATCAAGATGATGGAGATGAGCGATGGGATCCTGATTCTGACATGGAAGTTGATGATGAGCGGTGGCTTCTTCTTTCTTTCATTTCCATGTTTTCTTTTCTCATTTTAATTGGAGGCTGCTAATATACTGTTTGTCTACAGAAAGCCTTTGTCAAACCGAGTGAGGAAAGACATCATTGAACCTGAACTGAAAGACATGGTATATTCTATTTTGCATTCTTTTAGCACAACATATATGCTCAGATTAGCTTGTCACTATTCTATTTTAAAAAAAATTACGTCATAAAATTTTCTGTTAGATTGTAGTTAAAAGCACTGTTCCTACCACAAGCATTTTATTATGATAACCTGCACGGGTATGCTTTGGGAGTTACAGGAAAATGAATCCATGCTATCAAATCATAATCTTATACATGTAGGTCAAATTGTCATTTATAATTTCTCAATTTTCTCTGTTGATAAAGATGTAGAGGTAGCAAGAATTGCTAGGTTGACAAAAGCCAGCAAACCTCAACTCATAGTTTTCAAGGCGCCAAGGCAAGGCTAGGCGACCATGGGGGCGCCCAGGTGCGTAGGTGCCTAGGCGGGCGCCTAGCCCTCGCCTAGGCGATGGAATTTAAAACTAAGGTTTCTGATGGATTTCTACCCTTTTGAACTAGTTTTTTTTGGATTTATGTATTCTACACTTGCTTTTGTGCTTGGAACTTGAAAGAACTGAAGGGGCAGAGCCCCTATTTTAGATCAACAAGGAACAAATACTAAAATAAAAGAAGAAAATGAAAAAGAAAAGTAGGGGGCGGAGACCCTGTTCTAGACCCAGAAAATCTGGTGAAAAAATATTGAAATAAAAGAAGAAAAGAAGGGACGGAGCCCCTGTTTCAGAAATCAATGATGAGAACAAACAAAAGCTGAAAAAATGGAAGAAATTAAGAAAAAAAAGAAGGGGGCGGAGCCCCTGTTTTAGACCCAGAAAAGCTGGTGAAAAAATATTAAAATAAAAGAAGAATATGAAGAATAAAAGAAGGGGCGGAGCCCCTGTTCCAACCCTGTTTCATACACCAATAATGAGAAAAAAAAAGCTGAAAACATGCAGGAAATTTAAGAACAAAAGAAGGGGGCGGAGCCCCTGTTTTAGTCCAATAAAATGATTCAAAAAACTTAGAGAAAAGATACAAAAAGGAAGAGGAGAAAATGAGGCGTAGCCACTGTTTTAAACCAGGAAACTAGGGCTGTTCACGGGTCGGGTTGGGTCGGTTTACTGAGATTTTTTCAACCGACCCGACCTGGTCGGGTTACCTGAAATTGAAACCGAAACCGTCCCTGTGTTAAGCAAAATTGACCTGGTCAGTTTGAGTCGGGTTGGGTCGGTTTGAGTCGGTTTGGGTCGGTTTCGGCTCTAAGTTCAACCATGGTAATAAATTGGTAGATTGGAGAAAGAAGACTGAAATTTGATGTAAAAAAKGACACCTAATTCTATTAGAGAAAGAAGACTGAAATTGGTAGGGGGCGGACCAAGTTAGAATAGAAGTTATCAAGAAAATAGAAAGTCAAACTGTATTAGAGAAAGAAGACTGAAATTTGTATATTTCAAGAAACCTTATAATCGAAGTAAAAAAGGACACCTAATTCTAATTGTAATTGGTTGCCTATTTGGTGTAAAAGACCATAAAAACTAGGATCCTTTGATTCTTTTCTTTAAACTTTTCCAAAAAAATTCCTTGTCTAGTTGTCTTACAATACTTGCCATTAATGTCATTCTTAACTAGAAGACTAGAAATTAAGTTAGGTTGTAACTAGGATAGAGACAAATTAGTTAAGTAGGAACTAAGTAGGTTGTAAATACTAACTAGGAACTAACTACTAACTATGAAAACCGAAACCGACCCGAACCATCGGTTTATGATTTTTTACAACCCGAAACCGACCGGTGCTGAAGAAAACCCGGCCGATTCGGTTTGGGTCGGTCCGAGTTGGTCGGTTTGGGTCTTCTTATGAATAGCCCTACAGGAAACAAATAACAAAACTAAGAAGAAGAAGACTGTGTGGGAACGATGGAGGCTGTTGTTCTCTCATCTTCCTCAGTTCGATACTTCGATTCTATTGTCAATGTGAAACCCTTGAAGATTAACTTTGTTTTTACTTTCCTAATACAAAAGCATGATAACATGCAATAGGTTCTATTATAATAACTAAAACAACTAGTAAAATATTATATATTTTATATTTTTTATTTAATAAATATTTATATAAGCATGCGCCTAACATAGTTGGTGTTTGGGCGAGGCGTTCTTTGAAAAGCACCTAGTCGCCTAGGCATTGCCTTGACAACTATGCCTCAACTATAAAATAAATAAACTTTTTTTTTTTTCAAACCCCAAAATTTACTCCTAGTGGAGGGGGCCATAGTAAATTTTATTAATAAAATCAATGAAAGGCCTAGGAGGGGGCATAAAAACCTTACCCCTCAAAAAAAGCTATACAATAGGCATTTGGCTCATAAATATACAAGGCTGTCCGAATGCATTCATAAGAAAAAAGCCTAATGAATACGAAGATAAGGAACTGTCCAAAAAGCCTAATGCGATTCTTAACGTGTGAAGGGCAATCAATGAGAGACAAGAAGCTGGAATCATGTCGAAGTTCAAAAGCCATTTTTGCTAGAGAATCTACCACCTGATTTACTTCCCTATAGATATGATGAATGGTAAACTAAACAGGAACTGTCCGAATTGCCTCTATGAAGTACCAATCGACCAGGAGGGGGGGGGGATGGGATGCCACTTATGCTGTCAACCAAAAGGGATCAGCACTCTGCCACCATATTTGTGGTTTCTCCATGGTATTTAGAGAAACAAAGTCGAACACCATTTTGGGAGTCACCTACCTCCCTGAGTAGGACCAAATACAAGTCTTGTTCACTCCTTCCCTAGCCAATGAATCTACTAGAGAGTTCGAAGATCTTTGGACCTATCTGGATGAGGTGTTCAATCTGATTGCCAATGATATCAATCTCTAATAGCATACAGCCGAGATACGGAAAAAAAATTTGCCTCATCCATCCTATGGCCACTTGGGTGTCACTTTCAATCTCTAGATTGGTATAACCAACAGAATGAGCCAATCTTACCCCTTGAAGAAGTGATAATAGTTCAGCCTGGACTGTTGTTCCATCAATTGAACCTGAATAAATCACCAAAATTTCTCCTGATTTCTGAAAGCCCTCCAATTCCTGAATGACGAGGATGCACCAGGCTGCAATCATCAAATAACATCCAATGGCATAGGGAACCAGAACTTATGTCAACAATGATCAGGTTGAGAGTCATTCATAAAAAAAAAATGATCAGGTTGAGAGCTAAAGAGCCAAGTCGAGAAAGGTATGAGGGTGATGGAGAACTTCAACCAGGTGACTAGAAGGAGAATAGAACTTAAGCTGGAGAAGAAATGCTTTCTACTCAAGGACTCAAAGATTAGAGGAAGAGAAATCTGAAAATCAGAGAAGATAGAAGGGTAATGGTTATACTGGACATATTCATAAAAGAAATGGTTTACTGGACATGGAGGTGTTAAAATGGTTCAGAGGTTTTATGGACGATTTAATCTTTTTGGTGAAGAAGCAAGGGTGGAGGAACAAGCTGGTCAGAGAAGGAAAGAGATTCTTGGTAGATAACAGAAGAAACAATAACGGTTGGTTCATTACCTTAACAGAAGTCTGATAGGCCCCCAATTAACCTTACGTATGCTAGGAAAAGGGAAAGGGCAGCAATCGGTTAAGGGGGGAAATAATTGAACACATGGGGCTTGCCAGCTGGGCATTTATAGAGGAAGTCAGAAGGGAATAAGAAGAGTCTTGGGGCATTTATAGCTATGTCAGTTATGAATAAGAAGAGTGTTGGGCATTTATAACTAGGCCAGCTGGGCATTTATGGGGGGGGAGTCAGTTATGCTGTCAGAAGAATATAAGAAGGGTCTTTGGGGGATGGGGCAGGGCATGCTTTTGTTGAGTGAAGAATACTGTGAGTGATTGGGAGAGCCGGCGGTCTCTCGAAGAACCGACCTACTGTTAATGTTTTCCTTTGAATGAATATCAATTTCTCTTTATCTGAGTTGTGGAGTTCTTGCCTTGTGTCTGAGAATTGTGTGTGAACTTTTCGGGACATAACAAAGTCTTTGGCGAGTTTAAGAAAAAAATGAGTTTTTTTACCAGAAGGCAGAGGAAAGCAGGGTTGGCTGATGTTGGCTGCAGCATTAGAAGAGCTTGTTTTAAAGTATGGGGAGCATTTGAGAACTGAAAACACCATTAATTTGGGAGAAGAGGAACAGTTAGGCATCGGAGAGGAGAAGGTAGATAATAAACGAGAAAAAACAGTGGTAAACGCAATACAAGAAGAATCAATGATACTATCTTCTGCAACTTTTCCAAAAGTAGTGTGGAAAGGGAATAAGACAGATTGGTTCAAGAGAAAGGTAGTTATTGGCAAAGAATAAAGTTGAGAATTGGAGAGAAATTCTGGAAGTGGTAATGGAGAGACTGCAATCAAAGGAGGTGTTTCTAATCCCGTGTGATGAACAGAAGGCAATCCTAGATATGGGGGAGATTCAAGTGGAAATAAGCTTCAGATTGGTAACAATAGAAAACTGGTCGTCCTCTTGTAATGGGAAGACTTTACTAGAAAGTAGCCTTGTTATTAACCTTCTTGGTCTGCCATTCAACCTCTGGAAGGAACATATTTTCCACAAGATTGCAATAGTATGTGGTGGTTTGCTAGAGGCGTACTGCTTGCAAGACATGTGACCAGCCAAGATTAAGATTGTGGGAGTGCGACCAGAAGAAAGTTCCTTGTACATGGAGATTTTTGTTGATGATTGCTGGAGAACAATCTGTTTGACGTTGGAGGCTGAAGAGATACTTTCATTTCCAGGGGCGAAGGTAGAGGACAATGCTGATGTGGACAGTTGGTTGCTATGTGGAAGAAGTTGGGTGGATCACCCAAAAGGTCAAAAAGATGTTTAAGTTTTGGAAACTGAAAAGACAGGAGAAAATTTAAGAACAGGTCTCTTTCCTTAGAAGGTTAAATTTTTTATATATTTTTTTGAATTTAATCCAACCGCCCATAAGGCTTCTTGGAGATTTTGAAATCAAAACCAAATCAAGGTGGGTCATTTGGAGCCGGGCTGAGGGAAGAGAATGGTGTTAGCCCAAGAACTGAGTTTGTTTGTTTGTCCAGGCCGGGTCACGCCAGTTTTTAATGAACTATGTGCTAGAGTTTGTTTGTTCGTCCCCTTCGACTCCTCTAAGCCAACCTTAGTCTCTTGTAGGAGTGGTTTCCCTTCCTCCCCTCTTTGATGGCAGATGGTTCCAAGTTTCTAGGGAAGAATCTCTATTGGAAAAACTGTTAGGTGGGAAACTCAATGACCCCTGATAAACCTATCCTCGTTACCATAGAGAACAACATGAAGACTTTAAGGATGAGACCGACTAGGAGGAACTTAGGGAAATCAAAGAAGAGAAAGTTCATCAACCATCAAGCGTTGAAACTATTGATTCAACAAGAGGCTACAAGTTTGTGGACTTTGACCAGCTTGGAATAGAACTGTTATTTAGACTTTGGAGAAGACTCTGGTACTGAAGTTTTGGAGCTAAAGGAAGTGGGCATTGGAGAATCTATTGCAGACTTTGGGGGGGTTGTTGGAGGAACCTTAAAGTGAGGGGAATGTAGGAATAAATCAAGTACAAGCACAGGGTGTCCATAATTGGGGTTTAGATCTTCACTATGAGCCAAACTTAGGTGTACCTAAGGACAGGTTGTTGCTGAAAAGGAACCTAACCCTTCAAAGCCGGCCTATGGGAAGGATAGTGTTCATTTGGTTCATGGAGATTCTTCCTACCTTTCTCCTTCTCATGTTCTCCCCTGTTATGTTACTTTTATAATTTTGTCATCCCTAATTTTTGTGCTAACTCTCCTATTGTTATTGTAGTTCTAGTCATTGGCACCGCACCTGTTGCGGAAAGTGACCCTAGTGTATTATAAAAGGAAAGAGGAGGTGGAGGAATGACATTGGAGGAGGAGATTATGGACTTGGTGCTAGGAAATTTAGCAATTTTAGTTGAATTGGAGGAGCAAAATGAGAAAAGGCTGGAGGAGCAGGGGTTCAATTCAGAATCAGTAGAGAGAGAAGGGGAAGTTGGTCCAAATCAAGAAAAAGAGGGAGGAAACAGTGGTCCGTCAAAACAAAGAGAAGAAGTTTGAGTGAAGTGGAAAAATTAGCCTGTGGAGCGTCTTAGACAAAAAGCAACCAAATCTGCACAACAAGGAGTTGTGCAGTGCTCAATCAAAAGCTGTACATCTTCTAAATTGTTTACTCTGTGTGCATAGATGCAAAAAGAGCCCTAGAATTACAAAAAAAAGCTATAAGATCTATTCCTGAAAGGCTCTAGAGTTGGCCTTTAGAGAGAGAGAGAGAGAGGTATGACGTGATCAAGCTGCTTTATTGGGAAGTTTCCTTTGGGAAATTAAACACCTTGGATAACCTACAAAAGAAAAGACCCTACCTCTGTATCTCCCCAAATTGGCGTTTCCTTTGCAAAGCAAATGGAGAGAGCTTTTACCACCTGCTAATTTCCTGCCCTTCTGTCGTGAAACTTTGGGAAAAGATCTTTGGTCCTTTTGGGTGCAGGTGGAGGAGGCCTTTGCAAATCGGGGGGCTTTTCGACCCTACAACTTTTAAGTGGCCTAAGAAAAGAGTGAGAGTCTTATGGAGGTGTGTTAGGGCTGCTTTAGTTTGGACAGTTTGGGGGGAAAGAACTTAACAGAATTTTTAATGATAAAGGGACAAGGATTTTGTATGGGAGTGTCTGCTGTTTAGGGCTATTAACTGGGCTAAAGCTATGGATCTTTTTTCACTTTTCTCCTTTGATGATGTATGGAGAAATTGGGAACTAGTTGCTAAAGGTTCTTCGGTTAAGGACAAACCTGTTATAGCCTGGAAGCCTCTGGAAGAAAGTTTCATAAAACTAAACTTTGATGGAAGCAGTCTTGGTAATCTTGGCCCCTCTGGGATTAGGGGAGTATTCAGGGATGCAGAGGGCAGATAGTGGCCTTATTCTCCCGTCCAATTGGAGTGGGGATGCGGTTAGTGCAGAGGTCCAAGCTGTTTTACAGGGGTCTCAATTTGCTAAAGAGATAAACCTTAGAAATCTACTCCAAAGTGGTATAATAGGGTGGCTGAAAGAACCGGAGACAGTGACTTGGCCTTTCAGGGGGGCGTTGACAAGATTCAAATGGCTAAGTTCTAATATAGCAGCCAGAGTTCAGTGGGAGAGAAGATCAGAAAATGGGCTGGCAGATCTACTAGCTAAGCAAGGGGTGAATAGGGGTCAATTATTCTGGGCTACACTGTAATTTATATTGTTTTTGAGGCTGCATCTCGCGCCTCTTGGGAAAACTAAATGCTGTATCAGTTGTAAATCCATCTTAAAAAAAATTAATGAAATGATTTATTATTCATAAAAAAAGATCTATTACTAAGTTGTTTATGTGTTCCTACCCATGAGTACATCCTGCCACAGAATCCTTTACATAAATTTTCCTCTGAAGCATACATATTTTCAAACAGTCTTTTGTTTCTTTTCGCCCATATTGTCCAAACCACTAATCTGGTCTTATTCCCCAAATAACCTTGCCTTCTTTAGAGAGGCTCTTCAAGTGCCAACTCTGAAGCACTGCTATCAGATTTTTTGGGAAACAGAACTGAGCTTCAAACAGACCCAAAAACTTTGTCCAAAGGAAACGAGCAACTCTGCAGTGGATCAGTAGATGATCTAAATCTTTAGAAGCTTCCCCACACATTATGCACTTGCTAGGCAGCACACTCATCCCTCTCCTATCCAAAATCTCTGCTGTCAAACACTTGCCTGACACTGCACCCATAATAAAAAAAGCAGCTTTTGGAGGGGCTTCCATATTCCACACTACAACTTCTGGGAAATCCACCATCTCTGCCTCCGTGAGTTTATTATAGGAAGATCTCACATGTGTATCCTTTGTAAAGCTAGTGGTGAGACCCTTCCTCATTTATTAATCTCTTGCTCTCTTCTGGCTTGCATTTGGAAATACTTTTGCTCTCTTTGGTTGTAGATGGATCCCCCCATAGGATGTGGTTAGTTTGTTCAACCCCAACTTCTTGAGGCAACAGAAAAAAAGAGGAAGAGTCTTGTCGGGGGTAATAAGAGCAGCAGTGGTGTGGACTGTTTGGGAAGAAACAAATCAAAAGATCTTTAATGAGAAGAGTAAGTCAATGGGGTATATGATTGGAGCCATAGAAGTTAGGACTGCATATTGGGTAAAAACATCGGATCTCATTCAAAATGTCTCAACTAATGACATAATAAGGAAATGGACTGAAGTGGAACTAACGTCTCAACTAATGACATAATAAGAATGGAATGGAAGCATCTAGAGGTAAATAAGCTTAAGCTGAACTTGATGGCAGCTCTTTGGGCAATCTGAGGAGGGCAGGTATAGGGGGAGTATTTAGAGACCACCAAGGAGTGGTAGTGGCTTTGTTTCAGGACCATTTGGCATTGGAAATGCGGCTCAGGCTGAAATAATGGCTTTCTTACAAGGAATGAGACTAGAAGTATAGCTAGGAGTTAGGGAGTTAGAAGCTGAAGGAGACTCACAATTAGTCATTTCATGGACCAAGCAAATCAACTCAGTACCTTGGAAATATAGATTTGCCTTCAGGGAAATTGATCTTCTGGCAAAGAGGATTATTTCTAAATTCAGCTGGGTAAGAAGAACTACAAATGGGATGGCGGATGTTCTAGCAAAACAAGGAGCTGATAGACCTCTTTTATTTTGGTAAAAGTTGTAATATGTTGTAATATGGGCTGGTGAATTACTACAACAATTGTACTAAACTTCCGATTTAAATAAGCAATAAACTTTTGCTGATAAAAAAACAGTGATCTGGCTGAGGAAGAAGCTACCATACTCCTACCCCTAATGGTGTATAAAGGGCAGCAAAGTGCACGAGGCTCCCACCAATGCAGGGTCTGGGGACACAGCCTTACCCCGGCACATACAGAGAGGTTGTTTCCAACACCTAATGGTGTCATCTATATTAACATTTGGACATCTTCTAGTAGGGCTGTCAACACTACCTAATAATTGGAATCTGAGTTTGAAATTCGATTTGATCAAACCAGATTATTGATCTGAAAATTCTGATTCTTTTGTAATTGGATCAAACCTGGATCCACCCCAATCTGATTCAAATTCAATAATATAAAATTAACATATATTTATAAATAGATTTGGTTTAAATGCATTGAAGACTCATACGTTGAAATCTCATGGAAGTTATTTTTAATTAATATTCTTTATAATATGTAATAACCATTTTCTAATTTATGTTTTAATAAAATATAATATTTTATTCATATGTTAGTTTATTTTTTTAATGGTATATAATATCTGAATCTAATCCAAGTCTAGGAAGATCTGTACATAAGAAAAAGTACATCTATGTAGGAGGTGCAACTTGCTATGTTATGTCTTCAAAGTTCCAATAACCCCTTGCGTTTTAGTTGAAGTTCTTGCTTGGCAATATCCATTCTGAACCTGGCTCAACCAACCTGAGCTTTGCAGGGGTTGGACTTTGTACTTGTGCTTGGTATACTAATCCTGACCCCAGCTAAGATTAAGGTCTTCAAGTGACCCCAGCCTGGACCTAGTGTGCCCAACCTTAACTGAAACCCATCTTTTGATGTCTGTTACTTGCATGGGGTTGTCTTATGATCGGTTTCTTGAGCCTTGCCTCTAAGCACTGTGCAATTTCCAATATAGAAGCTTATTTTCCCTTACGATAAAAAACAAAACCTAATTTTCGTAGTCTATGAGAAGGAGATTTCACATGTAGAAGACAGAAGGGGGTGGGTGGGTGGCTGTAAACTTATTTTGTTATGAGATCCAGATTTCTTGTGTGAAGATCGGGAAGAAAGTCAAGAAAATAATTTCAAAAGCTTAGAAGAGGATATATAGATAGCCTCGGACCCTGCAAAAGTTACTTTTAAATCACATGATACTTTTTGCCATGGCAGTTTTCTAGTTCTGACAATAACTCCGTGCATGCTCAGGATGATCAGAAAGTAGTTGCAGAACATGACAAAGGTGTAGATGCAACAGCAGAGGTCTCATGTTCAAAGGTGAATCCTGAAACACAACTACCTTCACCGATAGAGTCTTTCAGCTTTTGCAGCTTCTTACGGTTTTTCTTTTGGCCATTGTCAGGCTCCAGATGCAGCTTCTATGTCGATAGATGAACCAATCAGTGTGAAAGCCGAACAAGAAAGCTTGAATAAGTCATCTGATCATCCAGTTCAGATGCACTCGACCATACCTTGAGCAAACATCGACTTCCACCAACACCAATGCCAACTGTATGGTTATCTGTATATCTTAGTGGCTGCATATTTTTGGCATAACCTTCATTGTTTCTTTTGTGTATTTATATTTTTGCATGGGTGAGCTAGGAACTCAAAATATGAATCCCTAAACCTGGTTCTTCTAGTTTGTTTCAGACAAGTACGTAGGTGTTCTGTAACAAGAAACCATGTTTTGAAACTACTGAGATGCACAGAACGATGAGACATGTTAATTTATTAATGAAAATATCATAGAAATGCACAATTAAATGTCTCATTAATCGATACTCTAACTTTGTTGGGTGTTGTGATCCTTTAGTCTTAATGCCTGTTAAGGCTTTTTTGAGCATTTTGTTATATTTTGTTTTCGCTGCCTGACAAGGATACATTCTCAAGTCTGGAACTGGATTGTTGTAGTTTTGTTTGAACTCTCTGCATTTGAAAACTCTGATTGTTTTAGATTTTTCTGTTGAGATGCCTTCTAATTTTGGATGCATTATGTATATACAATGTGTTATTGATGTGTTTTTAAGAGTAAGTTGATTCCCTGTTTTGTTCATGCATATCTTAATTATTCTATCTAATCCTAACATTTTCGAAGCGTATCCCAATGTCTCTTCGAAGATATCTCAACAGAAGGATACTAAGGAGGCTTCTGATACTAAGGAGGTAAACTAAGGAGGCTTCTATTAGATCTAGTTTTTGAACATTGGCTTCTCATAAAGTCTAATGTGAGGACACAGAGGAATACTAAGGAGGCTGAAGGACCAGAGGATTTTCCATATGTGAAATCGTTCTAAGGCCCAAAGTTGCCCACTCAAAAATACTTGTCACACGGTTATAATCAACCTTGCTTTTTGGCGGTTTGGCCAAGTTCAACTGAAACTTTCAATGGTCAAGGTGGATTATCATGTGGCAGTACTATGACAAATTACAGAGAAAATCTGTTATGCATCATAGCAAAGTTTTTTTTTTTTATTTTCTTTTTTATTTCAGAAAAAAGAACCATTTAGAAAAGAGTGCTACTGCTGGGCAGTTAAGAAATGACAAAAAATGATAAACAATTGACAACTAATCAACCCCCCGGTGGGGGGGGTCTAATTGGTATTCAACAACCCCGACTATCATGCAAAAAGGGCATTATACATCGAGTCCGGATCTCCTGCCCACGAGAACTCTGCCCACATTAATCACAGCCACTATGCAGAGGATGAGATATTCTCAATTCATGGGGGGTAGTGTAGTGTGGGTAGGCATGGGCAGGAGATCCGGAGTCTTATACATCATACATGAACATTTGATAACTAATCAACTAGTAGCCAATCAGCTGGTCTGGTATTCAACAAAATTCACCCGTAGGTGGGTNGGGGGGGGGTCTAATTGGTCAAAGTTCTTCGAGTATGATATTTTTCCAACATTAGATATTTCCTCTAAAAAATGGTTTGACTATGATGCCGGAGAAATCTGATACTGGAAAAATTATATTCTGTTGTAATATGTGCTGGTGAATTACTTTAAGTATAACAATTGTATTAAGCACCTGATTTAAATAAGCGATAAACTTCTAGTGATCTGGTTGAGGAAGAAGCTACCACACTCTAACCCCTAATGGTGTAAGAAGGGCAGCCAAGGGCATGAGGCTCCCACCAATGCAGGGTCTGGGGACACAAACTTATCCCTGAACATACAGAGAGGTTTCCAACACCTAGTGGTGTCATCTTATATTTACATTTGAACATTTTTTTTATAGGGCTGTCAACACTGCCAAATCATTGGAATCTGAGTTTAAAATTCAATTTGATTAAACCTGATTTTGATCTGAAAAATTCTGATTCTTTTGTAATTTTATTGAACCTGGATCCACCCCATTTTGATTCAAATCCGATAATATAAAATTAGCATATATTTATTAATAGATTTGGTTTAAATTCATTGCAGAGAACAAAATAAAATTACATGGGCCTGGGCCAGCTATCTAGGCTTGCCTGTATTAATAAACAAAATTACATTTTTAATTAATTTTTTAATCAAAACTACTGAAAAATGTATAAAAACTACCTATATTTTAATATATTAGTCCAAACCATCAAGACAGCCTATAAAAATTATTAAAAGGTTTGGATGAAAATATATAATGGGTAAATCTATGATGCAGAAAAGATATGGTATGAAAAAAGTTTTGATCAATCAAAACTCATCCATGAACTTTAATAAAAAACCCTTTATTTGCTACCACCTCTATGATTCCACTTTATTGGTCAGTTGTTTTTTAGACATCATAGTCGCACCCATATTAAATACAATTCATTGTCCTATGCATCAAAAACTATTAATAATAGTTATGACTGCCGCCATAATCCTCAATGGCATCACGCATTCACGCCATTTCATAGTGTCATGCCCATGACTTCAAATACCATACAACACCCTGTATTGGACATAACTGCCACCATAATCCTCAATTGGATCATACCATTCCATTGGTGCCACGTACCCATGACTTCAATAACGTACAACACATCTTTGTATTTGATATACCATATCATTACTTTGAACCTTGGTTTGTGGCAACTCTATACCAATACACTACCAATGGGGAAAGAAACCCTGAAAGAACTCCATTGCCTTCTTTTATTTTATGCTTTTTTTTTATTTTATATACCATCATTTAATTATATTCCATCACAAATATTCAAAACATCATGGACATGACAAAATGCAAACATATTCTATATAATCTCAATAATTAGGGTTACAAACTAATAAATCTTTAAAATGGCTTTTTAACCTAGGTGACCGGATCATGAGTATCAACCGATTAATTAGTAATGCAGTCAAATAGCCCCCAACTGACTAATTGGCCAACTAGTTGACTAGTGGATGCTTCGATAACACTGATCTGTACTGGATGTTCTAAAACTCATTTTTATATTTGATTTCCATACCCAATTTAGTTCACTGTATAACAGATCTACTACAAACAAAACATGAACAGGCTACAGAACCCAACCAAAGAGTAAAACACATCAGTTGCTGATCTGATAACCATATGGACACTGAAGTGCTTACTCCTGATTGGGTGATGTAGTCCATTGTACACGTTTGTAGCAGATCCGGAGCCATATAAGCATATATTTAGGAACAGAACATACTGAATAATGTGCATTAATAGACCAGTATTTAGATCTCATGACTTTGAGAACATTCCACTCCATATTCCATGATCAATAGAAAAATCAAACAGGAATGCAAAATCTAATGAAGCCTGATATATATAACAGAATCCAAATTTCATTCTCCATTCACTTTTCCACACAAACTTATAAGAAATTAGAAACATTCATCATATATTAACAGAGCAGCAGGAAACATAAATGTAACTAACCAAAATACACATCTAGACCAGGAAAGGAAGTAATCAGGTTAGATTCTTCCACCCATCGTAAGGAACCCCAAAACATTTAGCATCAAAAGATGACTAGTCACCAATTGAAATCTCCTTGGCGTATTCTAAAACTTCTTCCCCTTCCATAATCAATTTCTGCATCAGAGCTTGACAATCCCAGCCGATATCTTCTACTGATTTTAGAATCCTCCATCTTCGAAAATATGTCTTCATCGGTGTAAGCATGATTAACAGGTTTACTTTGCCCAGAAATATCAACAGATTGAAGTTGCTTTTGTTTATCATCTGATGCACAGAAACAGAAGAGTTATTTTGGCCCAGTAAAAACAGGAAGGCTGACTTATGCCCATCTAACAAGATGTCAATGGAATCCTCTACCAAAAAGAAGGCTACATTTTTTTCCCAAAAAGATGAGAATGGATTATGGGGAAAAAAAGGCATCATAACCCCTCCTCTGGCATGAGAATCCCCAATGGGCAAGGCTAGATAGACGTAAAAATAAGATGTTAAAGGATGTCACTGAGAATCAGCTGTGATTCAAAATATGAGAACCCTTTCTAAACTAGATTATACTACTTTAACATTAATCCTTAACTATTTTCGGTCAGCTACATGAATCCTGACCTGCCATTGTTCTCTGTCAGGAGTCATGTTTTCTGCCTAATTTCTAAGTCCACTTCAACCCCTGTTTTCATTGGTATTCTCATTGCAATTTTAGAAGTTCTACTTGGACCAAGTCACACCACACAGGTGCATATATGATTGAATGCTTGCATGAAATGAGAAACAACACCCTAAATAAAAAGATAATCTACCTTGATGTCCAGATGAATTGTCCAATACTTGGCCATCCACTCCACCATTAACCTCTTCTTGTGTCCATTTTGAGATACTCCGATCCAGAGCATTTGTGCATTTTGACTGCATTTTTTCTACTCCATTTGTCAACTCAGGTGCCATGCTTTCTTCCATGTAAGATTTATGAGAAGCAAAGGGTGCAATTGTGAAGGAGTCATCCATTATATCAGAAATTTCTACATACTGGGGTGTGGTGATGATTTCATCCGCACTGAATCCAAAGGATGCTCTGTATGCTTCAATTTCCTCTGTATCTGACTTGCAATTTTTAGCATGCCTGTTCTGATGGTTCCCAGTACTAGAATAGACATCTGCTTCCCTGGAAAGACTCAACCTACCTCCACAATGAGGGTATGAAGGAATAGATTGTTGAGCCTGATCCAAATAAAATTGTGCCGAGGTAGCAGGACAGAAGAAACTCGAATCCTGAGATAACATGAAATTTTTGGAGGGAGCCGCTCCGAGGCCAAATAACCTAGATGAGCCACTCTGAGGATATTGAGAGTCTTGAACAGAAAATGGAGCACCCCATTGAGTAGGAAACTCCTGATCTGCAAAAGAAGAAGATAAACCATCGCCAGATGTCCCTGAAATAGGTGAAATGAGACTGCTTGCAGGACTTCCAGGATAAAGTGGATATGTTGCTTGGAGATCGCTTGAAGCAGAATAACTTGATTTTCCAGCACTTTTAAGATCCACTGAAGATGAAAGAAACTGAGCAAAAGGCACATCTGGGGAGGAAGGAGTTGTAAGGTGTGCCAACTCTGGTGGAGGAGTGAGAGGAGCAGTAGACGGCTCAGTTGTAAATGTTGAAAAAACAGGAGGAGAGACAAGTTGGGTTTCATGGGCATATGGTCCTGTTGCGAACATGGTTGAAGAAGGACCTCCAGGGGAATTGGCGGACAGTGACAAGAAACAATTGGGTGACTGGGCAGTTGAAGGGAGTGCAGAATTTGTAAAAGATGCTGGTGAAGATGGTGGGGCTAGAAGTGAGGGAGTTATTGTTGTCGTTTGGTTAGTCACTCCAACAGGTTGAGGTCCATTTGTCCGATTACTGGATGTGTTCCCATCTGGAATACGAGATGCAGGTACAATTCGTTTTCCGCCCTTCTGTGATCCAAAGCACGATAGCCTGCCCCAACAACTCCCACATCTCCTCTACCAAAGTACAGCATAAGAAGTTAGTAGTTCGATACTTCCAATAAGTTTTGCAATTGATGGCTAAAAAATATACAGAAATTTACACTTCATTATCTCAAATCAAATTTATTAGCACAGCATCTAAGCTCTATTATGCACATATAATATACCATATGGCTGTTGTTTTGTTTTATTTTTGTTTTTTTCTTTTCTGCTAGTAACAGGATAAAGATAATTAGGTGACGTTTGGCAAGTCTTTTTAGAAAGATCTTCAGCAACCCAGATGACCAAAAGACATATTGGGGTATTGTCTTTAAAGACAAATACCATTTGGTAAGTGACTCGGTCTACCAGGCTTTTAAAAATGTGTTTAGAGGCTATCTATCACACAGAAAGACCAGAAAGCTTCTTTTGAAGCATCCTGAAATTCAGCATCTTCGGTCTTTTCAGGTCTTTCCGTGCACGTGTCTTTTTATCTTTCCAGTTTTTGGTTACCAGATGGAAAAAGACCGATTTTTGGTCTTTCGAGCTTGCTAAAGCCCAGAAGACCACACGGAAAGACTTGCCAAGCACTGCCTTAAGAAGATGTAGGAGTACAAAATTTACATATCAAAAAAGAGAGGCAAAACAAAACACAACCCTCAGTTGGCCTTAAATGCCAGCTACACACTGCACCCAAGAAAAAAACACTATTAAATAAGACCAGATAGTCATTCTTTATAGATGGGTTACACAATGTTCTCATACTTTTCATTTTAATTATTCAATTCCATAAAGTAACAAGGTATTCCTGAATAAAACACTCGTGATCTAAAGAGAAGAAAGAGAAAGAATAAGATAACGCTCTTATCCACAGTTAACTTCAAAACAAACTTTTATTTTTTTTTATCAGCCAATTCAAAATAAACTTTTATTCCATTAATCATCTCTAACATTCCAATTATAATGACTCTATACATTAAGGGCTTAGATCACCCTTTACAAACTCCAATTTAGACTTAAAAACTGACACCAAACAACTTCTACTCGCTTCGAAAGTAAGGCAAACCCATAAGCAACTTCAAAACAAACTTTTATTATATTAAATCATCTATATTTTTTTTTTGATGTTATAAATTATCTCTAAAATTCCAATTACAATGCTTCTATTTGTAGACTAAACACAAGTATTTGGTTTTCCCTTCAAAAACTCCAATTTAGACTAAAAAACTGACCCAAAACAACTTCTAATTGCTTCAAAACTAAGCCAACCCACATGGACAATCAAATAAGGACTCTAACACCTAAAATAGCTCTAATGGCATTTTACTAATATTACTGAAGTTCAAAAAGTTATGAAAATGGGCAACCAAGAATCAAGAGCCTTGTACCACATTGGTGAGCTGAGCTCGAGCCTCGTACTATTTGGCTCGACTCAACTCGAATCCACCCCTAATTGCTCAATTCTTGTCCTATGAAAACATCACACCCTCATTTCGTGCTTTTTTGACTGCCATCGATTGTGTTTCCATTCTCAAAAGTGTTGCAGAAGCCTTATCTATACCTGAATGGACAGATGCAATAAAGGAAGAAATGTGTGTTCTACACAAAAACAAATCTTCCTGAAGGTAAAGAGCCAATGGGGTGCAAGTGGGTATTTACATTAAAGCACAAAGCTGATGGGTCGGTTGAGAGGTATAAGGCCAGGTTAATTGCAAAAGGGTATACACAGGTGTATGGGGTCGATTATGTAGAAACATTTACCCCAGTTGCTAAAATGAACACTATTCGGATTATACAATCCTTAATTGTTAACTTTGATTGGGAACTCCACCAACTGGACATAAAAAACACATTCTTGAATGGGGATCTGGAAAAAAATCTTTAAATGGTTTAAACAATCCCCAAGGACCTGATTCAGCAGATTTCACTTGGTTCTTCAACAAATTGGGTTCATGTAGTGCCAATCTGGCCATACTCTATTTGTCAAAAGAAACCAGAAGAATGTTGTAGTATTGATTTTCTACGTTGATGATATTGTGGTTACAAGGAATTGGGACTTTGAGATCAGAAAGTTAAAGAATCCCTTGCTATGTGGTTTGAGGTGAAAGATCTAGGACATCTATGTTATTTCCTTGGTATTGAGGTTGCCTACTCAAAAAAGGGCATCTTCATTTCCCAAAGGAAATATGTCCTAGATCTCTTGCAAGACATGGGAAAGTTAGGAGCAAAGCCTGTAGATTCCCCTATTAATGAAAACCATCAGCTTGGTGATTATACTGGAGAACCAGTGATAGATGTCAAGAAGTTTCAAAGGTTGGTAGGAAGACTTGGCCAGATATAGCTTATGTTGTTGGTGTCCTTAGTCGGTTTATGCATGCACCAACATCCTCCCATTTAGAGGCAGCTGAGAGAGTACTCAGATATCTAAAGAAATATCCAGGAACTGGGTTACTATTCAAGAAACATGGTCATATGAAAGTGGAAGTCTACACAGATGCAGATTGGGCCGGTGTAGTTGATGATAGGAAATCAACTAATGGATATTGTACCTTTATTGGTGGAAATTTGGTCCCTTGGAGGAGCAAAAAACAAAGTGTAGTGGCCAGATCTAGTGCTGAGGCCGAGTATAGGGCCATGACGCATGGAGTTGCTGAAGTGCTATGGGTAAAAAATTTGATTGGAGAGTTGGGCTTCTCTGTTGATGGTCCAATGTCTCTCTACTGTGACAACAAGGCGGCCATTAATATGCAGCCAATCTAGTTCTTCATGACAGGACCAAGCATATTGAAGTTGACAAGCATTTCATAAGGGAAAAACTTGAAAAGGGGGAAGTTTGCACTTCCTTACATCAGTTCCAAGGAACAATTAGCTGATATCCTTACAAAGGGTCTTAACTATTTGTGACATAATGAATTGTGTGGCAAGTTGGGCATGATTGACGTATACGCTCCAACTTGAGGGGGAGTGTTGTAACATGTATCATACTAGTAGGGGTATTTTTGTTTTTTTTTTTTCTATGTTTTTTGTTATAAGCTATTGCCCTAAGTACAAATATTAACTTAGGCGCCGCCAACCACAACATATAGAATAGAACTTCTTTTTCCTTCTTCTCTCTTCTTTCTTTCTTCCTTCTTTTATTCTCTCTTTTATCACTGCCGAACTACATACCCAATGGGCTAGGATTGCCCATACAGCTGTCGTCAAGTTTAATTTCTTCCACCCAACACATGGAGGAGACCAGGCCTCATGTATTAGATGTCTACTAGATGAAGAACCAGCAATTATGCCCCACAACCTGAAGAAATCTTCTACCTTAAAGTCAGTAAAAAGCTTTAAGGACTGACTTTAAGGTGCTCACCCAATGTGCCACCCACCCTTAGGGTAATAACCTCGACCACAACTTCCTTCTTTCCTTGTATTAAGACTTCTTTTCACTCTACTTGCTTAGAACTATCATGGATCTTTTCCAGTTCAGTTCCAAAACCGCATTCTTATCAAAAGTCTTGAACTCAATTCCCCTCATTTCTTCTTTTATCATTCTCCCCATCACTTCCATCAAATCCCACCGTGTCAAGAACCTCGTGCTCCTTGAAAATGGAATCAACCTCACTGAGAGCCCGCTTTTCTTGCTCCCTCTCCCACTCTCCCTTCCTCCAACTCTTTTAAACCCCTTCCTTGCAAATTCTTCCCCCCCCTCAAAAAAAAAAGCCCCAACATCTTGCTCACCTTCTTCACCTCTCTATTCACGACAAAATCCAAATCAATTGATCCTTCAATTGCATGTGTTTCATCCATCTCTATCTCCTCATTTTGAAAGTCTTCTTCCTCCGCATCCTCTCGCTTCTTACTAGGATCCTTCAAAGGTCCAGTCCTATACCTCCTTTTCCTTTTATAAACATGTGTGCTTCACCCAACAATTTTTTTCTTCCTTTTTCCCTTCTTGTTATCCTCTCCTTCTGCAAAGCTACCTTCTCCCCTCTCATTTTGTTCACCAAATTGACCCTTCCTTTCTTCAAACCTTGTCAATTCTCATACATCAATTGCTACTTCCCCTTTCTCCAAATCCCTATCCACTGCTATCACCTCTCGGGCCTTCTCCCCTTCTATCTCCCCTTTTTTCACTCCCACTCTTCCCCATGCCTTTGTTGACACCCAACCCCTCTTCCATGTTATTGTTATTTTCCTTTCCCTCTTCTTCCCCAACAAAATCAGTTCTACTTAACTGTCCTTGATGAATGTCTTCAAGATTGTAAGAATTTGCTCCACCTCCTCCCATGTTAATCCCTAAAGCCTTTTCTCCAATTGATTCTTGTGAAAAGACAACCAAAATAGACTCCTCGTCCTTACAGACCTCATCGTTTCTAGAAACTCTATTTGCACCCTTCTTTTCCGTTGACGTTTTTTGAGTTATCTTTCCTTGTCTACCAGAAGCTTTCTCCACTTTTTCCCACAAGTTTATCCCTATAAACGAACTTTGTCACATAGCAAAAAATAATAATTTTTTTCACGAGTCCTCCCTGAATTGTGAAAATGTTTCGACCCACTAAGACTTCCTTTACCTAAAAGTTGGGTCCACCTCCACCCCCTAGCTTTATGGTCCCACTCTTTTCTAAACATAAATGTCAGCCCAACTCCCTTTCAGTCCAAGTTTTGAGCCCAACCCTAACTACCAAAAGCCTTTTTATTAATATTTTAGCCCCACCAATTACTTAGCTTTGCTTCTAAAATGAAATTCTTTTGCCCACTGAAATTTACCCCTTCCACAAAGTTATTAAAAGCTTGTACAGAACTCTCGAGAACTACACCTTTCTCAACCCCTAAATTACCACCAAGTCCACCAGTCTCCCTCTCTGCCACTTCTAAAAATACCCATTCATCCTCATCCATTCGCATCAATTCCTCCTCCCCTCTCTTCTCTTTGTTTCTCCCTCTATCACAATTCTAACACCCACTCTCACCCTTCCTTCTCACCTTAATAAAAGATGTCCTTAGTAGATTGATTTCCAAAGCCGATCGAGAAGGTCTAATGAGAGGGT